AAATTGATATCATTCTGAAGTATTATTTATACTTATTACAATACACAGATATATAGATATGACACTAATAATGAAACCTATAATAAAAAAAGTCACTTAGACACTACATCAAAGAGTCATCTGTACCCTTAGAGACAATAAATTCTTTCATAAACCATTCTTTTATGATAAGTTTGGCAAGTCATTCTTAGAAGAAAAAAAAATGGACTGACAAGACACATAATATGAGGGATTTACCATGCACTGCAACAAGCAAATAAAACCAATAGAGACAGATCACACATTTCAAATCATATCCTTGCATTTACATAGATAAATTCACACTTATCAATGTACTGGTTATAACAATGACCATTCACGCAACCATAGATGACGGGAAAAGGCCACTCACTCACAAAATCTTTCATTCTGCGGGAAACACAACTTACCAGGACCATTCATTCACAAAAATAAGATTTATGCAGCTGGTTATCTATAGTTACTTATGTGCCTGACATTTATACATCAATACAATTTAGTAATATTGATCACAGTTCATCAAATTCCCCACGATGTCTTCTATCTCATTACAAAGAAGAAATACATCTCTCATACATTTTTAAACTACTGGCTAATGGACTGAATACATCAAAACAATCACTTTAGTATTCTATATGAAAAAATAATGCTAAAGTTTTCTATTGTAAATATCAAACAACATTCTTTTCATATCACAGACATCTTTTGCAACCCACAAACTCTCTAATATTCTTCCAGTCACTCTATATTATCTGTTATGCAGAGGGTTGCGGTTAACCATCTATCTTTTTCAATTATCACAATACTGTCTTACTGTCCCAAACCCCTTGTACTTAGTCTTATGGTAACAATTAACTATGAAAACAATTCAATAAAATGGAACTCTCTTTTGTCTCTTAAGAGTTAACATTTTCACCAAAATGTATGATCAAGAAATGCTATCCACATGTTTTCACTATAGTAATGTTTCAAGATGCTTAAAAGACAATTATGCAAGATGGAAGCTATTAATAAGTTAGTTTTCTGTCATACAGTTTTGTGAATAAAGATAATTAATAAATAATACATTAAAATTCTTCAAGTGTCATTCACCAGACATGGATGGCTTCAATTACTGAAACTAGCTGCAAAAGTTTGCTTTCTTCAGCAGATTCTTATTCCATAAATAGAGTAGAAATCATTGTCAAACTGTTCTTTTTTCATTATAATTAAGACACTATCTGCACCTAAATGTAATGTACTAGAAACATAATGGATGCCAGCAAAAAATAAAAAGGATCTAAAAACATTTATATATATTTATATATATATATATATATATATATATATATATATATATATATATATATATATATACATATATATATATATACACACACGTATATATATATACGTATATATATATATATGTATATATATATATATATATATATATATATATATATATATATATATATATATATATATATATATATATATATATATATATATATGTATATATATGTATATATATATATATATATATATATATATATATATATATATATATATATATATATATATATATATATATATATATATATATAATATATATATGTATATATATATATATAATATATATATGTATATATATATATATATATATATATATATATATATATATATATATATATTATATATATATATATATATATATATATATACATATATATATATATATATACATATATATATATATATATACATATATATATATATATATATATATATATATATATATATATATATATATATATATATATATATATATATATAATATACATATATACACACACATATATACATATATACACATATATATACATTATACATATATATAAATATATACGTATATACATACATATCCATATATACATATATATCCATATATATCCATATATATCCATATATATATACATATCCATAAATACATACCCATATGTATATCCATGTATTCATACATATATACATGTATACATAAATACATAAATACATTTATATATACATACATACATATATACATGTATACATACATATATACATGTATACATACATATATCCATGTACACATACATATATACATGTATACATACATACATACATACATATATATAGCTAAATTCCTAAGTGGCCACTGATGTGTGGGTGACTTTCAACACCAATATGAAATTTTCAAGAAATTCCATCTGGGGTATTCTGTATTTCATAAATTTCTCTGAGAATGCTTGCACTTTTACCAATTACATTAAAAAGAAAAGCTGATTAAATATCTTTTGTTCAACAGATGAAGTTTAAAATATTTCCCTAGCTGCTTGCACCCTTTATCCCATTGTCAACAGGGCCAAAAGTTGCTGTCAAGTTCATGGTAACACAAAAGGTAATGCTTTTTCCCCACTTCAGTCTTACCCCAAGAGCTTTATTGCAAGAATATGGCATGGCATAGGCATAGTCAAGCAAGACATGATTATCCTTGCGTTTTATGAACTTTCTTGACCAATCAGATCAATATTCATTACTCGAAAAAACAGGAACATGGAACAGACTGGCTAGGAACTTGTAAGGAAATTAGGGCTAAATTCAATGTGACATGATATATTCTAATCTTACATTTCTATAGTAAACTTATCTCAGCAGAACCAATAATCTTTTTACAGCATGCTCATCGTTGAAAAAATGAACGCCCAAAGCATAACTTCTCCCTTGCAATATGCCAATATATATGCTGTCCAAAGGTCAGTTTAAAAACTTAACTGCACGTCTGATAGCTTTTGCATAACAAACTATGTCAGTGGGTTGGGCAATTTCAAAATTTAGAAGCTGAAAGAAATTTTCAGCATTTCAAGTCTCTTCCCTGGTTAATACCATGTCTATTGACAATATATTTAGTTTTAAAAATTTCCTTCACTTGAATTACATCCGCTGATCAAGGAAATGTATCAAAATGAGAGAACATCAGACGAAGCCTACGTATAATGCAGCATCTGACGAGTCTGAAGTTTGTGCATTAATTCACTTTCATCAAATTGGTGGATGTGTAACAATTTTATGAAGTTAGTTACATAATTTCTGATAAAGTATTTAAAAGATGAACACAAGAAAAAGAGGTTAAAAGACCATTTCTTCTAATTCTCTTATCAAAAAATTCTAGTATTTAATAATCCATGACACAATATCAATACTTTACTAACATTATTCCCAAATATGGTGTATGATTGAAATTCATCCCATCAAGTTAAATACATCATTCAGAGTGGTACACATGAAAAAAATTAAACATTTTCTTGCTATTTTATTTTTCTTCAAAGATGAACAGTCTTACCTTCTTCCCCTATTCTAAGGTTAACCAATGTTATTTTCTGGGGGGAGGGGGGGGGGGAACAAATCTAAAAATTGACCAACAGTGTTTAATACAAAATTTATTTTTCACTCGTCAAACCAGCACTTTAACAAACCACCACAATATCCATGACTCACGAAACACATTGCAAGGTCATTCTCAGCCGTCCATAGAACTGTATCCATCCAACTGGCCAAGCACCATATTTCATCCCACTCTTTCAGTCTTGCAACCCTAAACATTGGTGACAAATGCCAACTGCCTAAAATCGCTACACATTGTGTTGATTAAATACTATAAGAAGTATTTTGATGCACTGAAACACACATAATGTGATATTGGTATGATTATACCTAGCTTCGAAAAGGCTCTGTGTCCAAGGATTATCTACTATGTTAAAAATTAAGTCTTTTCGTGACCTTGATTTCTGACAAGCCATCTATGCACAACCAACATCCCTGTATGTCTCCTAGTGCAGCTACACTTACCACAGAATTTGCATTTGTTTACAAATGCAACTTTACTGCAACAAGCATATCTGATAAATGCACATCTCTATATTCACAGCACAATGATTATTGGCCACATATGTTGTAAAATAACCACCATCACACACACAAATTAAAAAAAAGAAAGAAAAAAACATACAACATAAGGTATGGATATGTGTGTGTAAATTAGTGTGTGCACCCTAATATTACGAGTATATGGTATGATCAATGCACTCACTTAAATCCACAGCACAATTCTATTTGCCACACTTAACATAAACTACAGCTGACATACCATCCAATCTATTATCATTAACATAGTAACATATTGTACCTAAGGAATATCCTTAGCCATAGTTAAATGCATCAGTAGATTCAAACCCTTAGAGCTACTACCGATTTATAAAGGTATATATGCATCTATGTATAAATAGAAGCGTGTGAGTGAGTGAGTGAGAGAGAGAGAGAGAGAGAGAGAGAGAGAGAGAGAGAGAGAGAGAGAGAGAGAGAGAGAGAGGGAGAGGGAGAGGGAGAGGGAGAGGGAGAGGGAGAGGGAGAGGGAGAGGGAGAGGGAGAGGGAGAGGGAGAGGGAGAGGGAGAGAGGGAGAGAGTGAGAGAGGGAGAGTGAGAGAGGGAGAGTGAGAGAGGAGAGAGTGAGAGAGTGAGAGAGTGAGAGAGTGAGAGAGAGAGAGAGAGAGAGAGAGAGAGAGAGAGAGAGAGAGAGAGAGAGAGAGAGAGAGAGAGAGAGAGAGAGAGAGAGAGAGAGAGAGTGAGAGAGTGAGTGAGAGAGTGAGTGAGAGAGTGAGTGAGAGAGTGAGAGAGAGAGTGAGAGAGAGAGTGAGAGAGAGAGTGAGAGAGAGAGTGAGAGAGAGAGAGAGAGAGTGAGAGAGAGTGAGAGTGAGAGAGTGAGAGAGAGTGTGAGAGAGAGTAAGAGAGTGAGTGAGTGTGAGTGTGAGTGTGAGTGTGAGTGTGAGTGTGAGTGTGAGTGTGAGTGTGTGTGTGTGTGTGTATGTGAATGTGAGTGTGAGTGTGAGTGTGAGTGTGAGAGAGTGAGTGTGAGAGTGTGAGAGCATGAGAGAGTGAGTGTGAGAGTGGGAGTGGGAGTGAGTATGAGTGCAAGTGTGAGTGTGAGAGTGTGAATATGAGTGAGTATGAGTGCAAGTGTGAGAGTGTGAGTGTGTGTGTGTGTGTGTGTGTAAACACACAATGAGGCTGTTTTTATCTTACTGAATGTAAACAATGATAAAACTGTTGCTAATGTAGTTCAAGAACAGAATGTATATAGTATATCATGCATATTTCATTCCCTACACTCGAGCTCCATAACAACATCATTTAACGTGGTTGTAACTTGAATCTTGTTGGACTGCAGGCGCTATCATAGCCAGGCCCTAACCATCACAGGCAAGGGCAAGCGTGTAGCCCTTGTCTTGTATCAAGCCGAAACACTGCTGGATTGTCCGGTGCCTTGCCACCCACTCCACTTGGCACTGGACCCCCGATAAGCCTAGGCGGCTGGTGATGGTGGATATCACTTCTTCATCCACTATTTCTGTTGAGGGAAGAAAACAATTTTGTCATCAGAATAACATTACACATTCAGCTTAACTAAATTGTTTTTTGCCAAGCAGAATTCTAGTACCATTACCAATGTTAATTAGTTCAATTACAGAACAAATATTAGACACAAGAGGAAAGGTATGAATTAGATCACGTAATTTCATAATGCGAGAAATCTAATGGACGTATTTTAATCTTACATCATCAGAATAACAAATCTGTAACCCCGATGTAGGGAAAATCATTCATTCTTATTCACAACTCTGTCACCATATCCTCTGTTCATTAACTGAGTTTATCCTACTTCCTTAAACAAAGGGGGAATACTCACCAGCTGGATCATTGTGTGTTAGGACTTGAATGTCATTGTTCTGCGCGAAGGTTGTTAGTTCTTGCGGCACAACACAGCAGGATGATAGGTTGACCTGCACAGTTGTAGGCTTCACCTGAAAAAGGGTTTTTTTTATACAATACTATAATTCACCTTTTATCCGAGTTATTAAAACTATAAAATAAAGTTTTTATTAAGAAAGAGATCAAATTTAGGGAAGTTCTTATATCGCCTTCTTCAGATTGTAAATGAATCCGGACAAAAGCACCTTTTTAGGGTTCCCTATCCTTAAGTATTACAGTAAATAAAAAAAAAAAAAGGTAATGATCAACTATATACATAAACTTTTTTCATTATTACCATTTTCCTTTCCTCTCATTATTTTTTACATTCAGATGTGCATATCCAAGAAGTGGCAAAACAGTAGCTTCATGCTGTCTATAACCTGTGCTCTTTATATATCAGAGGAGGACTGAAGAGAGTGTCGGATGTCACATATTTCTGTTCTGTTTTGTCATTTCTAGATAAGTTGGTTGCTGTATCTTTGTGGTAAATGATATCTATATAGAACTCTCCAACAGAGTACCTGCTGTGGGTCAGATAACACATTTCCAAACTATTATAAACAGCACTTTCTTCTGGAAAATGCTGATGCACTCAGCAAACCCATCCCACCAGTAGCAGATACAGTGTCAATGGAAGAAAAGTTATAGTCAGTGATGGAGTGAGCTGTGGTTACCTGTTGTTCACTGAATATGAATATTACTGCTATCATAAAAAGACAATTTATACCAAGCAAAATGGTGTTTAACTTTTAAAAGATTTATTACAGACATGAAATAATGGCAAAGGCTAATTGCTGTAAACTGGAAGAACTCATACATTTCAGGAAACCTCCCCTTTTCCCAGTAAACATTATTCAAAGATCTTTACGACAGCAACCTTGACCATCAAGTGAATCATCAAATTCTATCCCTCATGAAATTAGTCTTCAGCAGCTGAGAGAAGATGGGTGGTCCTCCAGGGTAGCCCAAGCACGAGCCACTAATAGGGATTTTGCTTAAATTTACACCAAGCAACCAAGGAAGCCAATGAGGAATTTTAAAGCAAAGGCCATAAAATCCTAAAAGAATTTAAAATGTCACCCACTATGAGCAATGGACCAATGAGCTGTACCTTGTTCTCAAATGTGGTATCACAGTGTCAAAGAAGACAAATGCTCATTTCCTATCTTATGGCTATTTTTTACAGCTGAAACTGGAAGACTATCTTCAGTCTATGGTAGGTGCAGGTATTAAATAAGTGAGAATTATGAAAATAATTATCCACAATTTTGTTATGAAATATGACTATATATTTCATCTTTTTTTTTCTCATTTCCAAAAGATATTGCTGTACATCAGGTGTAATTCATCTTTAAGTAAAGAGAGCAAGCAGCATATTTAGGCTGAAATTACTTAGAATAATGTACTCTAGATACTAAGGAATAAAATACCCCTTAAATGTACCTAAAAGCAACTTTAAAATCCAACTTCTTTAGAATGATCATCACAATGACCAATTTGTTATTCATTAGTTGTTTACAATAACCATGTTATCTGTTATGTATTGTGTGCCAAGATTCACAATATGATTAAACAATAATGTGATTATTCTAGTATTTTTCAAACTGTAATCTATAGCTATTTTCTTTTTTCTGCAGTAACTAACTGGTAAAATGGATT